TTACTTGTTTTAAGCAAAATGCACTTAATTTAGTTTTTTTCCACCCCCCTGGAAACAAGACTAAATATCTTAAGTCTTTTTGCTTATCTAGTAAAAGTATCTTGGTTTAAGAATTATTTTAGATATTTTGACTAGAAACAAGACAAAAATACTAAGTAAGATAAGTCAGTTTTTACAGTGTACTGTGGCTATGGTGTGTCACGTGACAAAGGATGCGTCACCATGGATATAATAAGGTGACGCTGGAGGGTCAGCTAGAATATTTGAAACTTGTGTGAAAGGGTTAACAGCAAAAGTCTCTTCACACTACATTCAGCACAAACTGTTGTACAGTGATATGTGAGTAACATGTATGTACACTATTTTTAAGAAAATCAAGTTTAAACTTTGAGAGTAAAAATAATTATTAATAAAAACTTTAAGATAAAACCTTAAAACACATACTTAACATTATTTCATAAAACATTTGAGGAAAAAAACAAAAACAAACTAAAGGTTATGATACACAAGGCAACTTTTTGAGAAATATTGCTGGGCAATGATGCTATCAACGGGCAAACACACACAGGGAACATGACTGATCTAATTATCCAGACAGAAGTTTGTTGCCCATTCTCAATGGGAAAGTGCCCAAACAACATTGCTCTGCAACATTGCTCAAAAAGTTGCCCTGTGTATAATCACCTTAATACAAAAACTATATTATTATTAAAATTAAATATTCATTCATTGAACTCACCTGAGTTTCTGCAGTGTGCAGTTTGTATTTTCTAATCCGTTCTGGAGTTTCTTTACTCCTGAATCCTGCAGATTATTGTTGCTCATGTCAAGATCTTTCAGACTGGAGTTTGATCTCAGGACTGTAGCGAGAGCTGAACAGCTTTCCTCTGTTAGACCACACTTACGCAGCCTAAAATATTAAACATGAGAGAGAGAATTTACAAACACAAAGTGCATGCATGCTAACATTTAGTGATTACTGAGAATTACTGTGTTTTGGTCACCTGATTTCTATAACATACTGTATATCTACAATAATAAATGAACACAATACTCACATCAGTGTGTTGAGTTTACAGTGTTTATCCTGCAGTAGAGCAGCGATCTGATTCACTCGTGTGTCTTCTAGTTCACGTTCACTCAGATTCAGCTCTCTCAGGAGTAACGGGTTTTTAATGTGAAGAACTTCAGTCAGATATTTACAGGCTTCTTCTGCATCAGGACTTTGTAACAACCTGGACACAGTAAATGTACATACATTACCTGCTATACAGTGATTTATTTTCACAAGCTTGTGAAAAGCCTTTAGTCATTTTATAGCTCTTACAATTGTCTTTTTAACAGTTTAATTTATTTAATTTGAAACTTTTTTAAGACTATTATTTTAAGAACACTCACCGCAGTGTCTTCAGTTGACAGTCTGGATCCTGTAGTAAATCACTGAGCTCCTTCACTCCTGATTGTCCAGGATCATTTCCTGTGAGATCCAGCTCTGTCAGGTGTGAACGGTTTGATCTCAGAGCTGAAGCCAGAGCTAGATAATCTTCTTCAGTGATACTGCAGTTTGAAAGTCTACAGAAAATAAATCCATGAATTACAATTAACTGTGGTTAAAATTATTTAATTAGTGGACAAATCGCAAAATATGACTACATCACACTACAGCTGAATAAATGACCAAATATGCAGATAAACGGATAACAGATATGCAGGAACACAACTTTTAGTTTTATTCTGTCATCATTTATTCTGTGAGTGAGGTGATTAATCAGCTATTACCTGATTAATTTGAACTTAAACTGATTCCAATGTAAAGAAAATGTAAATGTAAAAAATGTAAAGAAAAGCTTATATTTAAAACTGCAACACATTTGAAAAATAATTATTCCGACTATGTGCCATTAAAGCTGAGATTCTCCCATTTTCAGTGATATATGACAAATGTATGGGAAAATTCTTAAAGTTTTGTAAAACAGGGCCCATATTTACAAAACACTTTATCTTACCACTAAGAGTTCTCCTAAATAGAGAATAGAGAGAAGTCTTAAACTGAGAGTAAGGGTGGGTTGACCTCGTTGCTATGGATGATGTCAGCATGCTTACTAACTATGCACACAGTGATTGGCTGAAAGGGGAGGGGTCTCTGTCAGAGATTTATTCATGGAAATATTAAAGAGTGCAAAATTATGTTGCCGTATTCAAATATTGTATTGGTTCTAATGGTAACTGTGGAGCCTGTGGGTTTCTACTGGTAAATTGGTCACCTTTTATTGGTAGCTTGTTAAAACCACTAAATCCTAATGGAATATGTCCCAAACCACACTACAGGAACCCAGTTTTTAATGCTTTTAATGGTTAAAAGTTTATGGTTTGTAATGTTTGTAATGGTATTTGTAGTGGAAACCATTAGAATTTATGTGATGGTTTGTATTGTGTGTTTTTTGTTTTTCAGCAGGGAGGAGAGTTTGTGATTTGGTCTTAGTGACTTAGGAGTCCTCTTCACTACTCCTGACGTTTCACAGATGTAGGAGCTAGTTTTAGCGCTAAAACGCTTTGTGAAATATTCTTAGAGCAAAAATGTAGGAGTCCTACATTTAGGACTGACACGCCCATTATTTTTCAGATTTTCTCCTAAAATGTCATTAATATATAAATTAATATAGAGAATTTATGTAGATCAGCGGTTTTCAAACCTGTCCTTGAGGCCCCACAACCCTGCACATTTTGTATGTCTTCTTCATCTAACACACCTGATTCAACTCATCAGCTCATTAGAGACTGCTTAGTAGAGAAGACCTGAACTGGGTGTGTCTCATAAGGGAGACATACAAAACATGTAGTGCTGGGGGGTCTCCAAGACAGGGTTGAAAACCCCTGAAGTAGATCACCTAATTTATGTCTTAAAAATGTGTATTAGCTGCCTTTTACTGCTAAGTGATGCTTTAACCACAGACTTGAAAAGTTAAAAGGTGAACGTGTTGGAGCCCATTGCCTCATGTATTGAGCTCTGCAGTTGGGCAGATAAACTAGTTAAAATAATTCAGATTCACAGAAGCAAATTTAGTACTTATGAACTTATGTGAGTTTGTTATTCAGAACGAATTCAAGCAGCATAGTAAATGTCAAGACAGTCTGCTTACGTTTTACGGTTACATAGTACTACACTGTATTTTAGATTTACACATTTAATAGGTGTGCATTAAGATTTATATTACTGAATCATGTGTTATATTACCATTAAATAAAGAAAAGGAGAAAAGGAAAAGGTTTACTATGCATCTGAGCATTAAAAGTGGAAGCGCATTCGATACGGATTTGCTAAATGTCATTGTTGTCACATTACTTAATATCTGTCACAAATAATGCTTGAAATTTACATTTAATAATTCCTAAATTAAATTGAATAATTTACACATACCATGGACATAATTTTTCTTTTTTTATCTGTCCTTATTCAAGTCCTTATTTAATAGGAAAGAGAACTACAGTACTACTGCACATGACCTGGGAAAAACAAACAGTGTTTCCCATTCATTAAGTAGGCTAGCCACAGTCTAATCTGTCCGGCCACAGTTTAATAATCAACCGAAAATATGATTGAACTTCTCAATCTAACATGAAAGTTGTTTTTTTGATCATTGCTTTGGCAAAGTATCTGTTAAACGAACTAAAACCAAAAGCACACTATGGCTTAATTAGGAATGGGTACCAAAACCCGTTATTAACTCGGCCCCGGTGCTAAATTATGAAAGACCGGAGTATCGATAAGCTCTGACGTTAACGGTTCTGCTATCGATACTTGGGAAATTAAGAAAATACACATACATTTATTATTGCTATATATACATTATCTTGTAAATTCTATCTCCACATAGTCGACAGCTGTTTTTATATGCAATAATATTAGGACATTTGTCTATGAGGCATTTTTGCTATTCATAATTCAGAAGAGAGATTACGCTCACGCGAAGGAGCTACAGAGCGCGCAACATGAAAGCCCTGTTTAACTGTGATGATAGAGGACAGAACTAAACAATCAAATGCCTGCTTACACTTTAGGCCTGTGTCTGTGATATTAAGCCAATTTTATTGTTGATTTAGATGTTGGCTTCCAAGGATTATAAAAAAGAAGATATGAGGTAAAACTATTCTTTCAACTTCTTTACCTTCACAGCGGTGGACATTCGTTCCTCCCTAAAACCCAAACTTAACGTCAGAATCAGCACAATCAGTGATTGTTTCAAAATGCAGTCTTCATTGTTGCTAAATTGCGGGACATGTTTGATAAAATGTTGAATCACAATAATCTGCGCGAAAGATGCTGTTCCCCAGGCTTGTGTGTGCGGACAAGCACACACAAAACGGACAAGCAAATTACACTTTGGGCTTCGAGCGTGCTACTAAACGATCAAATACACACACAAATATGTCAAAGTGGCCGGCTTGGAGAGTATTCACTTAAACACAGTTTATGTCTTGGACGTGAACAGCTGTGAGAAAATCCGATGTGTCAACACGATCTCATGAAAGTGCGTATCAATACCACGAGTTTCTGTTTCTATTTGGCAAACTATTTATACGCAGAAATTGACTTTGGCGTGCATATGATACGCAATGGTTAGGATTACTAGTGTGGGGTAGGTGCGTATTATATGTACGCCAAAACTGCGTATCATATTCATGTGAAAATTGCATATTATATGCATGCCAAACATGTGCGTTTCATATGCACGCCAAAATCCATTTCTGCGTATAAATAGCACGCCAGAGAAAATCCCTCACAGCTCTTAATCTGAACACATTAGCTTTAATAAGCATTAATCGTTCAAATTATACAGTGAAATCTATGCAGTGTTGTTTTACATTTGGTTACTTTATTAGATTTCTTTTGTAGGCTATATTATACCAGAAGAAAAATGTCGGTAGACCTCCATTAAAAAAATTAAAGCACAGTTTACTTAATTTGCATCTTTGTTTTATTGTATTTGTCAGTTTGTTTTACTTTGTTTCTTTGAGCAGACTGATGGAGGGAAGAAGCGTATGGAAGAAAAATAATGCCATATGTCATTGAAACAAAAATAATGCATTGCATTAACAGTGCTTGCATTTTAATGCCTTGTATTTCCAGGGCTTGCATTTTTAGGTCCTGAAATCTAACATAGTTGTTTATTGAAGCTGTGAATATTTCCATTCAAAATATTTCACACACATTTTCATAATTAAAAATTAAATCATTCATATTCACCTTCCAGAATTCACTTCCAAAATATTCAATCTGTTTAAAAATACGATGTATAATATTCGACAGGCAAATTTCGGTCAATTTTATTTCACTTTCCAAATACGCTTCCACAAATTCATGAATATTTCAATTAAAAATATTTCACACATATTTTCATAATTAAAAATTTAATAATTCATATTCACCTTCCAGAATTCACTTCCAAAATATTAAATCTGTTTAAAAATACGATGTATAATATTCGACAAGCAAATTTCGGTTCATTTTATTTCACTTTCCAAATTTGCTTCCACAAATTCAGGAGTTAAAATTAAGCAGAAAGTTCGCCATTGCACATCCGGGATCTGCAGGAATAGCAGTAGAGCACGATGCGTGATCTCCAGCTGCTGTCGGTCGCTCACCAGCAGGTGGCGCAAGCGGCTGTTGATGAAGACCAAAGCAACAGGTGGATTAAGTCATTCATTTACAAAAACAGATCTGCAGAAATGGAGCAAGCGCTAAGTAGAAGTTTTGATTATCTGGTCAAGTATAAACGTGGAAAAGCTGATTGTGTGTATGTTTAATTCAACATCTTTGCTGTTTCCCGTAGCCTACATGTAAACAGCTTTCTCTACCACGAGCACCGATATCCAGCTGCTGTCAGTCGCTCACCAGCAGGTGGCGCAAGCGGCTGTTGATGAATTTTTGATTTTTGACCTAAATGTAAGAATAACAATTATTGTGTTTTTAGTGGCGAAAAAATATTATGACAGAATGCAACTGGACGTATGTAAAGTAGTAGAAGAAGAGACTTGTTTTCTCTGATCTATGTTTCAGATGCACGTCATTGTTTAACATCTATTCCTTGGAGTAGATATGGCCGTAAGTTATAAATTTCATAAGAAAATGCGTAATATTCTCTTGTGTTAGTTTAATAAGATCTGATTGATTATTGAGATGTTTAAACCTCAATGTTTGATTCTGAATTCTGGTGAGATCTAATGGCTAACATGCTAACAGAGCTGTGCAATCCCTTTTTCATGCAAGCACATTGTTAATCTAAATCAATTGTTTATTTGGGCATTTCAGTGTGTAAGTGAATGTTTATGAATGTGAAAGTGTAAATACTATTTTAAAATAGAATCCATTTGTAATTTGTATCTTTAGTGTTTTTCTTAGTTTTACAGTTGTGTCAAGTAAAGTATTCATTGCATACAAAGAAGAACGTGTGATGGAGCTTTATTTCTGTTAGCTATCTGTCAGCACCTTGTTCAGAACAACATTGCCAGGACAGAATACACGGAATGTGGCTTTGCAACCAAGTTCTTCAAAACTTTCTGACTGAAACCCCTATTAGTCTAGAGAAATATGTTATCTTCAGCTGTTGCTGTCTGCTCTGTGTGTGGAGCAGCTGCCTGATTGCTGTCTCCAACACCGAGAGCAGATGAAATGACAGAAGCAGCACAATTGGCCAAAATGTTGGTGACATTCATTCTTATGTATGTAACAATAGGCATTAGTGAGTTCAGCAAAAAAATATATCGTTGTTATGTTTACATATCGTACAAAGCCAATAAAGTATTTAATATGACAGGTCTACTGTTGTTGAGTGTAGCTGCTGGTGAAATGTACTCACTTGAGTATCTCCAGCTCACACACAGGATTCTTCAGTCCCTCACAGATCTCTTTGACTCCTGAGTCCAGCAGACGACTGTTGTTCAGGTTCATCTCTTTCAGGATGGTTTTGGAGGAGAGAACAGTAGCTAGAACTGAACAGCATTTCTCTGTCAGCTCACAATTATTCAGCCTAAACACAAAAACAACATTATTTATTACAAATTAGATCAAAAGATTCTCATATCTGCTCACACATGCGACTGAGAGATTTGAATAAACCGTGTACATCATGTTGACTCACTTCATTTTCTCCAGTTTGCTATGAGAGTCCATCAAAAGAGCAGAGAGCTTCTCCCAATACAGGTTTCTTAATTTATTTTCACTCAGATCCAGTTTTTTCAATAATAATGGACTTTTACCCAGAACTTCAGTGAGATGATCACATGCTTCCTGGGCAGCAGGACTTTTCAAAAACCTACAGGAAGCAGAATTACAGATTAGATAATATTCCAATTTTATGCCTTTAAGAGCTCCCATTCTGAATGAATCTCTAAACAGAGTAGAATAATTAACTACAAACATTTGTCTCAATGAATTAAACATAAATTAAATTTACAGCAGGCAATAAAGATAAAACAACACACAGAATAAAAACATATGCCATTTTCATGTATAAGCAAACACCAGAAACAGAAAGTACAGAAATGTGTTTTCACTTATTACTTCCTTACACATAAACAGAACACATAAAACAGCATATCTTTAATCATCT